GTGATGGTGATGGAGATTGGGCATGGAGATTCCCCCACCAAGACTGCAGCCTCCCTCCCGCCTGGAGTAGAGACAAGTCATTTGTCTTCTCCCACTTCTTTTTTTTTTTTTTTAAAGATTTATTTATGCATGCATGCAAGAACTGGGGTACAGGCCAGAGGTGCTGGGCGGGGTGTGTGTGTGTGTGTGTGTGTGTGTGTGTGTGAGAGAGAGAGAGAGAGAGAGAGAGAGAGAGAGAGAGAGAGAGAGAGAGAGGATTCACCAGAGACAGAGTGGGAAACAGAACAGGCAGACTGACTAAAATACACTGCTGAGGGGAGGAGCAGGCCAGTCAGGAGAGATCTGCTGCACCGTGTGGTTAGCTCCCTGGCCAGGGATCAAACTTGTGTTGCAGTGGCTGTGGATAGCTTCATAGTTTGCGTCTGAACCCCTTGAGCCACCAGGGAGGCCCTTCTCCCACTTCTTAATGCACAAAATGTTTGAGCATAAAATAACTGCTTTAAATCACTATGTTGTGGAGTAATTTGCCACACAGCGGTAGTACTGAAATCTTTACTGACTTCTCTGTCTCTTCCCACTAAAATGTAGGCTCCATGAGAGCAGGGGCTTCTATGTCTTAGTCCTTCCTGTGCCCACTGTGCCTTGCACACAGTAGATACTCAATAATTAATAGCGGACTCACCGAAAGCAGCTCAGTTTGGGAAATAGTAGTAACTCTTGCATAGCTCTTGTCTGATTCATGTGTTCACTACGTTGTAATTGTGAACCTGCTGTGTGACAAGCAAGTGGCCAGGAGCTAGGGGCACAGGGGCAGCCCACTGGCCACTGAAATCCTGTCCCACTGATGATGTGATGTGCCAGAGAGGAAACGGAAGCCCCCACTCTCCTCTGTCCCCAACCAAGCTCTGAAAAGCGGACTGTTCAACAACCAGAGGTGCAGTTGCCAAAGCCATCCAGCCCACATCTGGGTGTGTAATTATCACCGGGTGTGGCTGTTTTTACATCCACAGCTCTGTCACCTGGTCGCTCACTAGGCAAGCTGGTGACCCAGACAGGGACCATGTGGTGGGAAGGCTGCCAGGGTCCTGCACATCTGGCCCCTTCCCAGGGGCTCCTCCCCAGCATCTGTCTCCTTCCGTTAGGCTTGCTCCCACCTCTCTCAGAACTGAAACCCGGGCTTCCAGGCTCTAAAAGTAACCCAGGCAGGGGTGTATCCAGCCTGAGGGAGGCCTGAGGGATGAGCCTCCAGGTTTAACCACTTAATCCCCAAAGTACCTGCCAAGAACCAGTTAGCATGCCTGGCTGGCGGGCCAGCCGTCATTAATTCATTAAAGCAGGCTCCCGCTGGCCCATTATCTTCCTTGCCGCTGACCACATAGCCTCTTGGGTCTGCAGAGTCCCCCCCTCTCTCCCCTATTCCTCAGTCCCAAGGCAAGATTCTGCCCTCCCCTGGCCCCCTCTCTCAGCTGGATTCCTCAGCTCCATTCTCTCTCCCTCCCCACCCCCCCAAGGCACGCTTCCCCCTCCCTCCCACGCCTCCGCCAGCCAGCGCTCACCATAAAGCATCTTTTGTTCCCTTGCTCCCGTATTATCGGAGCAGTGACTGGTTAAATCACACCCATCTTCCTCCCAGCCTCCCCAGCCTCCCCAGCCTCCCCAGCCTCCCCCGAGGCTCTGTGAAAAAGGGAATCTCACTAGTGCAGGAATTCTTAGTCCATCACCCTCTGCTGACTCTCCCTAGGAGGGCCACAACAGGCAGCCCCTCAAAGACAGAAAACCCCATTCCACTGCCAGCTTTGCCACTATCCCTTTGAGACCACTCAGGTGGACTCGCTCTGCCTCAGTTTCCTCTGTGATAGAATAAAAGAGGCATTAACTATTTCATAACATCCCCTCCTGCAGGATCTAAGTGCCAGGCACTGTACTGGGCACTTTAAATGGATGCTTTCCGAGCATCGCCCCCAAAACCCTGGGAGAGACAACTCCAGTTGAAGGCTCAGAGACATTGGGGTTCTTACCCAAGGTCACACTGCCAGCCAGTTTCTGAGCTAAGACTTACATCCAGTTCCATCTGATCCCTAAACCCATGCTCTTAACCACTGTACTATGTAGTGGCCTGCTGGACATGGATACCCCAAGACATGGATACAAGTAGAGATGGTGGCTCTGCTAGCAATGACAAGGGAAACTGCTGTCTACTTTGGGAAAGAATGACGTTAAATGCATAACCACATTCACGATCACTGGTATTTATGTCCACTTTTTTCCCCCAGGCAGAGTTCTAGAGCTTTCTGATAAACCCTCTTGACAAGCCCTATGCATTAAGTACTGTGATTGTCCCCATTTCATGTATGGCCTAACAGCTTCAGGTTTTTTGTTTTTAATAATTTCTGAGAAAGGTATTGCTCGCACACAAACTCAAAACAAGTTCATTGAAACTGATGTCCTGCATTTGGTTGTCTGAAGGCCTAAGAGAACTCTCTGTCCTCCATGGCTGACACAGCTTCCCAGAAACACCTAAGCTTCCCATGAGCTTTCCCAGGTTTTTCTCCAGGGTAGGAAAAGCGGAGAGACCCACGAAAAACTCAACAAATTCTCCAGTGGGTTGTCTTTCATTTCTTCCTAACTTAGCCGAGGCGGGAGCAAGACGCTCAAGAAGGTTGTAGCAGCAGATAATAGGCTGGGGAGATAGGGGCTGGGGGGCGGGGAGAGCACGAACCCAGGGATAGGTACCAGGGCTGGGTGGTCTGGAATGGGGTGCTGCGCAAGTGCCAGGGTCCAGAAGAGGCTGCGCCAGAGGAAAGCGACGCCGGGCTTTGGGGTTTGGGCACCCCAAGCGGGAGGATCCTGGAGGTGCGGCTGCTGGGAGCGCCAGGGCGCGCAACGGCAGGCGGAAGGAGAACACTGGGGTGTGGTGAGAGGGTGGCCTGGAGTCTAGACGCAGCACGGAAGTCTGGAGCAGAAGCAGAGTGAGGGGGAGACATAAACCGCGGCGACATCGTCTGCTCACACCGCACCGGCGAAACTTCTCTCCGCCCCCCGCGCCGGTGGGCCGGGTTCTCGCAGCTCCTCCCCGGCGCCGGGGCGCAAAGGGGCGCGCACCGCCTGCCAGGCGCGCGCTCGCGGAGGCCTCCGGCCACCTCCCAGCCCGCAGCCTCCTCCTCCCGGCAGGGAAGGGGCCGCACCAGCAGGCTCGGGCCGCGCGTCCTCACCGCGGGGTGCAGCGCCGAGCCTCCCGCGCCGCCTCGTCCCGGGAAGGGCGCGCCTCCCTACCTCACCTGGATCCCACGACCGGGGAAGCAGTGTCCCTCGCCCCATTCCTACAAGATTCCTCTGCCGCCCAGCTGGCCTTGCAAGCCACTCTCCCACTAACTTGCCACTTGTCTCCACTTCTCTTTTTTTTTCCCTCCCTCCCCATCTTTTTTCTGCCTTTCCTTAAATTCCACTCTTTGGGCTTCCCGACTCGCGCTGGACTCCCTTTTTCTGCTCCCAGCCGCCCGTCCAAAATGTACTTCTTGCCCTGGGATTCCGCAGCCCCAGCCCGGTCCCTTCCGACGGAGGGAGCCCCAAGTCTCTCTTCCGAGAGGGAGAGAAGCGCCGGGACCTCTGGGAGCAGGGCTCAGAGCGCCCCGAAGCGCGCACCTCTCTTCGCCAGCGCCCGGGCTGCGCCGGCCCACGCGACATCTGTCGCCCGCGCTCCCGACTCACACCCCGCGCACCCCCGCAGCTCCCCGGGCGCTGCCACCCCCCACGCTCCGGCTGCCGCCTCTCTCCGCGGGCGCAGACTCTCGGGCCTCGCCCGCGGGCGCCGCGCCAGCTTCCCAGGGTGTCGGCGCATGGCGGGGCCCGGCCTCGACGCGAGCGCGGCGCATCCGTGGGCCGTGGCATCCTGTGCCTCTGGCTTCGTCACCTTCGACCTTCACCTTCCAGCCCTTTAGCCACCTAGAGTGGGCTCAGCCTGCTTCTCTGCACCCCCATTCTGTGCAGCGTTGCCCTCTATTCCAGAATCTTTAAAGATGATTCTTACAGGATAGCTCCCCCAAAGCGCCTAGTACGGTGCCAGGCGCACAGCTGGTGCTCAGCAATTCCCTGACCCAAGGGCCAAGGCCCACTAGGAGTTCAGTACCTTTCTTCCACGGTACCAGACAGACCAGGCGCTCAACTCACTCTCCACCCCCAACCCCCACCACGCAGTGCCTCGCGTACAGCAAGCTCTCAAAACATTCCCACCCTCAGCGGGGCCTAGCACCCAGGGGCTCCACAGATGTTCTTCCATTAATGCCCCTTAGAGTTTCCCTGAGAGCCCAGCTTCCAGCGCCCTTCGAGGGGCATCGATCGCCTCCTCCATTTCGGCTCCAAGCGTCCCGCCAAGTGCCTTAAATGGGACATCTCTGCGAAGGAGCGAAGAAGTTGGCGGCACGGAGGAAGCTGCAAAGTGCACGGGCCTCAGGGAGAGAGAGCCAGCCAGAAACCTGGAGGGGAAGGAGGGCTTGAGACGCGCTCGGGGTGCCAGAGAATGGGGAGCAGAAACTGGAGAAGTGACACTTCAGCAGAGAAGGGTTTGGAGCCGGCGGCCACTTAGGGACGGCAGGCGGTTTGGAGAAGGGGTGGGTGCCTTGTCCCTGAAACCGTGACGGATCAGGATTCTTTGGCGTGGCCTGCAACCTCGCTACCAAAGAAGCGCGCTTCTGCTTGCACCGCGCGTCGTCGCGGGACTGGTGGGGACGCTGGAGCCTAAAGTCCTCCCCAAGCCACCCCGCAGGAGGGAGTGGCACGGCGCGCTCACGGAGTCGGAGGAGACAGCAATGGTGGGCCTGACATTTGGAAGGAGAGGCGGAGAGTGGCCAGGAGGTGGACGGAGCTGCTGGCGGCCGGAGCGAGCGGATCAAGGAGATGCGAGGAAGCGCCGAGAGCCAAACTTGCCGCTCCCCGCCCCGGCCAGCCCCGAGTCTCCCGGCCCCAGCCGCCTCGCCCTGGCGCGCGCGCGCTCGCTCGCGTACCTGTTGCTCGCTCCGGCTGGGTCTCGGCTCCGGCCCCACCAAGAAGCCCCGCGTTCCTACAAGTTCCGCCTGCCGAGCAGCCAGGCCGCCAGCGCCGCCACCTGCGCGGCCGCGCACAGCCAGGGCCAGTAGGTGGGGAGCGCGCCGGGCGCCGGCGCCCTCCGGCTCCGCGCGCGGCGCCGCCACATGGTGCGCTGGTGCAGCTCGTCGCCGAGCGCCTTGAGCCGGGCGGCCGTGAGCTGCGCGGCGGACGAGCGCAGACCCAGGCGGCCCGCGCTGCAGGCGCACACGGCCGGGGGGCCGCGGCCGCGGTGCAGGGGGCACGGGCACATGACCGCTCGCCTCGCTCCCTCCCCGCGCTCGGGCCGCCCCTCGCCTGCTCGCCCTCCGGCCTGCGCGCCCGCCTGCGCCGCGCTCCAGCCGCCGGGGGCCTCCCCTGGACACCAAGTTTCTCCTTGTGTTGTGCGTTTGTTGTGCTGACGGCGCTATTATTAATTAAAGTGTCACATGGTGAAGGGGGGCGGGGAGGGCGCGGGGAGGGGGGTTACATCATCCGGCCCCGGGGGGGGGCTGCAGGCAGAAGAAGCCGAGAGGTAACTTTTAACCCTAGCGGCGCCGGCAGCGAGGGGGCGCGCGGCTGGAGGGGACGCAGGAAAGCACCCCACTGGGGAGGGCCGGAGCTTGGGGGGTCGCGGGGAACCCTGGCCGAGGCAGAGAGCGCGAAGGAAGGTTTTCTCCTTCCCTTTTGCCTGAATTCAGCTCCAGTTCCGATTTGGCTGGGGAAGCTGGCTTGTTTGCCGCTTTGGATGGAGCTGATAGCGAAGCCGGCTGCATTATTCAAAAATATTCTGAGGCTATTGTTTTGTTTGGGGGGGAGGTGAATTCATTCAAAATTGGAAGAGAGGGGCAAATTCTACCCAACTTGCCTACTTTCGGGTCTGACTCGGCACCTGTAGGCTTCGGGTTTGAACACACACCCCACACACACACACACCCCCCACCCCCGCTCTGAACTTAGGGGTCAGACCCAAACGCGCCCCCCGCGCGCAGCCAGAAACCTAGATGGAGAAGAGGCGGATTGGAGGTTTGAGGGGTCTGTCCCGCAGGGCACGCATTCGCTGTGCACCCCGCCAGACCGTCGCAGGGGCTTTCTGGAAGGAAACTTATTTTGTCTGCTTCCTTTGTGAATGTAATTTTCCTATCGGTGACAGTGCTCGGGGGAGACCCTAAGGGGTAGGGGTGAGGGCCTCCGGGGACTTTAACCCCTCTCTTCCCAGTCCACCGTGCCCCATGCCTTTCCAGATGAGAAAATCTGGAGTTTTCCCTGCCTGTGAAAGTACAGATGTGCAAGGGACTCTTGGAATTCTTGGGAGTGTGGACGCGGGGCAGGGGAAAGAGAAGGAAACCTCTGGAAAATTGTAGGAGTCCAGAGGTGGCTCCTTCCAAGCCAACTGCCAAAGCCTGATCTGACCTTTGGCTACCTGGAAAATATTCTTCAACAGGATGGTGGTTTGGGGTCTGGATTTATCACAAGAGGTTTCCCTTGGCCTGCAGTATGGTCAGGACTGAGGTCTCTGTTCTGCCATCTTGGTGGCCCTTAATCACCCAGATCCATACCCTTAATAATGGTCCACACTTAGAGCTTAGCTTAGTGGGCTAAAGCCTCTGCCTATGCTGTCTAAAATAAAATATTCCAACAATGGTGGGGGGAGGGGTTGCTATTACTGTCCTATTTTACAGTTGAGGAAACTGAGCCACGGGTAGGTAAGGCCTCTTGCCCAAGCTCACAGAGTTAGTAAAGAGTGAACCTGGATCTAAACGCGAAAAGTCTGCTGCAGGCTCTAAACTCTTAACCACGGTTTTATACTGCCCCCTGTAATCTGGGAATAATAATTCGTCCCTCCCAGGATTGGGGCAGAGATTAAATGAGAGAAATGTATGCCAAGCACCTGGCATGCAGTGGGCCCTGGATAAACCTTGGTTCCCTTTGCTTCTGGCCAGAACCACTTGCCCATTCTCCTGGGACTCACCTCCTTAATCCCCCCTAGTCTTTGCAGAGGGGACCTGATCCATTGCCCGGTGTAGCGTTCCAAGAATGAAGATACAGTGTCTATTTAAAAAGCCCTTTGGATTTAAACTGAACAATTCCCTCCCACCCCCCCTTTTTAATCTGCACGCTTTTAACGGCTCACTTCATGGACATTAATTTTAATGGGACGATTATTACCCTGTTTGGAAGCCTGCCCCTCGAATGCTGGGCTGGAAAGGTGGTGCTGGGTTGGGTCCCAGACTCCCGGATGTTTTCTGAGGCAAAGAGAGTGCAGTCTTGGCCATGGGGATGTGTCATTCAGCAGAGGGAGAGGAGAAAAGGGTGATAGGAAGGTGGAGGAAGAGAGAAGACCTCTGTTGCCCCCTCCCCCGCATACACACACTCTGCATCTGACAGGCCCCATTTTGCTCACCCTGCATTGTTCTATCCTATCCTACCTTTTGCTAACTGGAGAGCGTGGCCTTGAGATGAGACTTTTTGGAGCTTCTATGCCCACATCTATAAAGTGGAATAATAATAGTGCCAACCTCACAGAGTTCAATAAGATCACGGATATGCCCAGCACATCCATTGCATTTAATAAATGTTGCCTATTGTTAGCATTTTAAGGTAGACTATGTAAGCTTTGAGGAATGCTGGTGGGCTGGAACCTTCACATATGGTTTTCCCCTTCTGTAAATTGTTGATTCCATCCCTGATATTAAATATCACCCCCCAAATTATTTGGGAAAATAACGTAACACAGTAACACTTCACAAAAATGATTTATTTTAATGTTTAATTTAATAATTTAATTTAAAAATTTGTATCATGTTTACTCTGTGCCAGGTGCTATATTGCATACCTTGCACATATTAACTCATTTAATACTCCAAACAACCAGTGTAATAAGTACTATTAATAGTCCTATGTAATGGGGCAGAGTACTTAACTTATTCAAGGTCATACTGCTCTCTGACCCCAAAGTTTGTGCTCTTTAGTATTCTGTCACCATTGGAGACTTGAAAGGAGGGGCACTGTTAATGTGCTGAATTGTATCCCCCCACATTCATAGGCAGAACTCTTAACCCCTAGTTAAGAAATCTTTACAGTGTGACTATATGTGAACACAAGGTCTGTAAAACTGTAAGTTGTTTTTTTTTTTTAAAGATTTTATTTATTCATGCATACAAGAACCGGGGTACAGACCAGTTGCACAGGAGGGTGAGAAGATTCACCAGAGACAAAGAGGGGAACGGAACAGGGAGACTGACTGAAATACACTGCTGAGGGGAGCAGCGGGCAAGACAGGAGAGGTCTGCCGCACCATGTGGGATTCTCGCTGGCTGGCTGGGATCTAACTGGTGCTGTGGAGGCTGCGGACAGCTGGACAGATTCACAGCACTGCGCTCAACTGCCTGTGCCACCAGGGGAGGCCCCAAAACTGTAAGTAAGTTAAAATGAGGTCATTAGAGTGGCACTCATCCAACATTTAACCCAATATGGTATCCTTAGAAGTCTGGAGAGGCCCAGTGGCATCTGCAGGTCAAGGAGGCAGGTCTCTGAAGAAACCTACCTTGCCAACTCCTTGATCTTGGACTTCTGGCCTCCAGAACTGTGAGGAAATTAATCTATTTTGCTTAAACTCCCTAGTCTATGGCACTTTGTTAAGGTACCCCTCACAAACTAATACAGAATAATGAGTCTAAGGGCATGTCCTAGGGCGTCCCTGGTGGCCTAGGGGTTAAGTCTCAGTGCTATCACCCAGACAGCCCTCTCTGGCCAAAGTGGCCTGATGCCTGAGTTCAATCCCCAGCCAGGGAGCTGACCCACCTGGAGCAGCAGACCTCTCCTGTCTTGCCTGCTGCTCCTCTCAGCAGTGTATTTCAGTAGATCTGCCTGTTCTGCTCCTCACTCTGTCTCTGGTGAATCCTCTCACCCCCTGCACCTCTGGCCTACACCCCAGTTCTTCTATGAAAAAATAAATAAAACAAAAAATTAGAAATAAATAAATAAAGGAATGTCTTAGAAAGGAAGATAAATGCAGAATTCACCAGACTCTGGCTGCTTTTACTGCTGGGCATGCGCTTTGACGTTTTTTCTGCATTCTTGAGCAAAGATGATTCGTGGGACTATTCACCTTCTTCCTCTTCCATTTCTCTTTGGAATTTTTTTAAAAGATTATTTATTTATGGCAGGAGAGGTCTGCTGCACCATCTGGATCAGCTCTCTGGGCAACCAGGGATCGAACTCGGTGCTACAGTGGCTGGCAATAGCTTGATAGCGCTGTGTCATTCACAGCACCACCAGGGAGGCCCCTCTTTGGAAAAATTTTAAGGGAGAAAGGAGCTTTAGGGAGTTAGTTTAAGAAATAGTTTATGAAATCCAGTTGATCCCTTTATTCAGAGAAAACTTTCCCAGCCAGTTGCAATGAAGTGTGGCCTCTCTCATAGAGTGAAGAATTAAGACAAATTTTCCCATCCGTGTAGATTTCCTATGGCATCCTATAGTTTAAAAGTGGGCACAGCACATCGTAGATGCTCAGGAAATAGCTGCTGAAAGAAAGATTCAATGAGTGAACGAATGAATGAATGAATGATTTGTCTGATTTGTCTTCCCAACATACATGATGATCTGCAAAGAATTGTTAACATCAATAACTTAAAAAAATTTTCTTGCCCACATTCCTTCCCTTACCTTCTAAGAAATCAGTCCTCAAGTGTTTTGAGCAGGAAACGGGGGTGGGATTTCTTCTCTTAATTAAAACAATAATTACCTATCCTGGTGTTTGAGACGGCGTGAGTCTTACCTTATGGTGTTCTGATTCCCGTGGCTTGGTGAAGTGGCAAATGAATAAACAGCTGTCATCTTCTCCAAACAGCTGTGTTTCCTGAGGCCATGTATTCATGCCAGAGCCAGATTTGATGCCAGGAGTCAACCTGGTGAACAACAGAGTTCTTGAATCAAAATCAAAGCTATAGCAGAGTGGTTGGACACTTTGTGCCAGAGAGACTTAGGTTTGAACCCTATTCCCACCATACGATAGCTCAGTATTGAGCCTTCACTTTCCCATCTGTAAAATGGGAATAATAATCATAGTACCCACTTCATTAGGTTGTTGTGAAGATTAAAAGACATAATGTATCAAGTGTTGGCCAAGTGCTTGGCACTCAGCAAATGTTATTATGGTTCTTGTTGATATGTCAGGATTATTAAACATCCACTTAAGAAACAGAGCAGGGACTCTGACCTAAACCCATTGGGAAAACATGAGGATTCAGATTTCAGTGAGTCCAATATTGA